TGGTGTTGGTTCTTCCGCAGACTGTCCCCGTGTTTCAGGTTATTTTGCAATTAGAGCAGCTATTCTGAGAGCAAAGCTGGCTTTTTGTAAGCATCGTTCCTCGACTTCCCCTAGAATGAATCCGGGTCACATCCCGTTAGAAAAATACCTGTTGATCATGGAATTATTTTGCCCTGACTTACATAAATCACGGAATTTCCAACCGAGATCTTCAAAAAAGTCGCGTCAGCATGTGATTGTTTCGGTGGATTTAACCACAGATTCGAGACGACAGGCGACTTATCACAAACCAGAACTAGATGTATTTAAATCGAGATCTGTAAGATATGAACAACCGTCACTTGGGCCTTAAAAACCCAAATGGGCTCTTGGGTGAGAGGATGTTTGCATACTAGTGTACTCATTGTCCGGTAGCACGTCACTCAGAAGCAACCTGTTAGCGTGTAGCATGAGAGTTCGGCGATGATTATCACGGTAGTAATAATATTAACACCCGAGATTGTTTTGTTAAATTCACTTTCTTTCATCTCTTGAAAGGAGAAATCACAGTAGTGGTGCCTTTCCTCATTTGTTTGGTTTATGCGAATCGACTGTCACGAAAAGCGGCCGGTGCTTTTGCGCCACCAAATTACCTTTTTATGATATGGTTTCTTCAGCTGAGACGATTTAACTGGATTAATAGCCCAAAAAGTAGCTTTAAAAGTAACACTCTCACTGAGTGAAATAGCTACGTAAGTTAGAAAATGAGGTGAAGCTACACACGAGAGCCTGTCACTTAGTAAGGCTCCTGTAATTACTGTTTGGTTTCAGTGGTAGAATATCTCACCTTGCAACTATCTCCGCTTGCTTTTTTCTAAAATTTACCCAGCCAGTATAGAAATTTGTCGTCCTAGGCAGACGGGCTCGCACGGCAACCTGTTGGACAAATCCAGCTGATGCACCAGTGTCTCGGTCCTACAGTGAACTCGTCGAATTTTCCCATAAAAAGGTGCAGAAGACGTAGGGGACGCTCCATACTTGTTGCAACTCGCAAGAGTATATACATAATATCAATGGTACAAGTTAGGTTCGTCGTGGCTTGATTACAACATCTGAAAACTAACAGAGATAACAACCTTACGTAAAGAAACATTTGCAAACGAAACGAGTGTAATTTGAGCGCCGATCGTCCAGTTGAATTCTCGCTTTGTTTCACACTCAACTATCCCATCCGTACCTGCGACTGTCCCGGTCAACTACCTTTTATAACTTCACCTTTTGTGGTTATTAACGGGGATATACTGGACTTAGATATGTCTGACATTTCTCCGCAATCAAGAATTTACTAAATGATGCAAAAAAAAATTCGTTCAGCTGTAGTACCCTTTCGGTGCCTAACTGCCATGCCACCCGAAGGAAGCACGAGGGCTGGGATACTGCCAGGTTGCCCAAGCCTAGACATGGGAAGTCGAGAGGCAGAGGTCGGGTTCGAACCACTGACCTTCTGATCAGTAAATTTGCGCCCTAACCACTTGGATAATCTCGCCCCCTACTAAATGATGTGAAACAGTATAAGGTAGATTAAATTCCTTGAAATCTAGTTACATTGCATTGTTCCTTCCTTCTCTACATATATTGCTTTCGCTTTACTGGAAATTGGTGAGAGTTAGCTCACTATAAAGATGAAACACACTGATTGTTAAAGTTCTGTCTACTGTCGAATTCTAATCTCTCATGGTGTTAGAGTCAAGGGTTTTGTAGCTAGAGATTATGACGCCGGTTGACCACCACGTATTCGTTTTGAATGTTGCCGAGGCTTCGCAAGCGAGAACTTACTGATCCGAAGGTCCGTGGTTCGATCCCAACTTCTAGGTCTCGACTGCTTCTGTCCAGGCCTGGGCAACCTGATACCATCTCAGCCTTCGTGCTTCCTTCGGGTAGCATGGCAGTCAGGCACTGATAGGGTGTAACAGCTGAGCGATTATTCATTATTATTCTTATCCTCTACATTTGGTTCACATCCTGGTGTTGGTTCTTCCGCAGACTGTCCCCGTGTTTCAGGTTATTTTGCAATTAGAGCAGCTATTCTGAGAGCAAAGCTGGCTTTTAGTAAGCATCGTTCCTCGACTTCCCCTAGAATGAATCCGGGTCACATCCCGTTAGAAAAATACCTGTTGATCATGGAATTATTTTGCCCTGACTTACATAAATCACGGAATTTCCAACCGAGATCTTCAAAAAAGTCGCGTCAGCATGTGATTGTTTCGGTGGATTTAACCACAGATTCGAGACGACAGGCGACTTATCACAAACCAGAACTAGATGTATTTAAATCGAGATCTGTAAGATATGAACAACCGTCACTTGGGCCTTAAAAACCCAAATGGGCTCTTGGGTGAGAGGATGTTTGCATACTAGTGTACTCATTGTCCGGTAGCACGTCACTCAGAAGCAACCTGTTAGCGTGTAGCATGAGAGTTCGGCGATGATTATCACGGTAGTAATAATATTAACACCCGAGATTATTTTGTTAAATTCACTTTCTTTCATCTCTTGAAAGGAGAAATCACAGTAGTGGTGCCTTTCCTCATTTGTTTGGTTTATGCGAATCGACTGTCACGAAAAGCGGCCGGTGCTTTTGCGCCACCAAATTACCTTTTTATGATATGGTTTCTTCAGCTGAGACGATTTAACTGGATTAATAGCCCAAAAAGTAGCTTTAAAAGTAACACTCTCACTGAGTGAAATAGCTACGTAAGTTAGAAAATGAGGTGAAGCTACACACGAGAGCCTGTCACTTAGTAAGGCTCCTGTAATTACTGTTTGGTTTCAGTGGTAGAATATCTCACCTTGCAACTATCTCCGCTTGCTTTTTTCTAAAATTTACCCAGCCAGTATAGAAATTTGTCGTCCTAGGCAGACGGGCTCGCACGGCAACCTGTTGGACAAATCCAGCTGATGCACCAGTGTCTCGGTCCTACAGTGAACTCGTCGAATTTTCCCATAAAAAGGTGCAGAAGACGTAGGGGACGCTCCATACTTGTTGCAACTCGCAAGAGTATATACATAATATCAATGGTACAAGTTAGGTTCGTCGTGGCTTGATTACAACATCTGAAAACTAACAGAGATAACAACCTTACGTAAAGAAACATTTGCAAACGAAACGAGTGTAATTTGAGCGCCGATCGTCCAGTTGAATTCTCGCTTTGTTTCACACTCAACTATCCCATCCGTACCTGCGACTGTCCCGGTCAACTACCTTTTATAACTTCACCTTTTGTGGTTATTAACGGGGATATACTGGACTTAGATGTGTCTGACATTTCTCCGCAATCAAGAATTTACTAAATGATGCAAAAAAAATTCGTTCAGCTGTAGTACCCTTTCGGTGCCTAACTGCCATGCCACCCGAAAGTTGCACGAGGGCTGGGATACCTGCGACTGTCCCGGTCAACTACCTTTTATAACTTCACCTTTTGTGGTTATTAACGGGGATATACTGGACTTAGATATGTCTGACATTTCTCCGCAATCAAGAATTTACTAAATGATGCAAAAAAAATTCGTTCAGCTGTAGTACCCTTTCGGTGCCTAACTGCCATGCCACCCGAAGGAAGCACGAGGGCTGGGATACTGCCAGGTTGCCCAAGCCTAGACATGGGAAGTCGAGAGGCAGAGGTCGGGTTCGAACCACTGACCTTCTGATCAGTAAATTTGCGCCCTAACCACTTGGATAATCTCGCCCCCTACTAAATGATGTGAAACAGTATAAGGTAGATTAAATTCCTTGAAATCTAGTTATATTGCATTGTTCCTTCCTTCTCTACATATATTGCTTTCGCCTTACTGGAAATTGGTGAGAGTTAGCTCACTATAAAGATGAAACACACTGATTGTTAAAGTTCTGTCCAGGATTTCTTAAAATGGATTTCGCAAATCCCACAGCATCTTTATCTAAGGGTGGATTCCAAACTCGTTTGGCCATGATGTTGTCAGGATTATTAGAACAGGACCAAACTCCTCCAGGTTACAACACAGTAATAGTTGGTTTTAGACAGAAAGATTCTTGCGACCATCAGCACCTATGAGGCGACGTCATGCCCTCCCTGTTCACTCACCTTATTGCCTTTTTTGATGGAACCCTTCATCCAGACGTCCGTGGGCACAACAAGCAGTCCCGGATTTTTCGCATTATATATATATATATGTATATATATATTCACAGACGTTTTTAACGCAAACATGTAGACGTAATGGAACTAGGATCAGTTTATTCCCACCTCTAGTCAGTGCTGCCTGGCACTGTCCTGAGGATGACATTAACCGTAGGCCTAATGGAATACTTCCAGGTTGTTCGTTGTCACTTTGGTGGTGTTTGTCGGTAGCTCTTTATAACGGTTCGGTAGTGCTATACTGGAGGGGGCGTGGCATTGCGCCGGAAGCGGCCCCTTCATGATAATCCATTAACTGGTGCCGGTGTCTGTTGTGATAACATCAATTTCAAGCTCGTCGATGACCCGCAACAGGCTTTTGCACGTCCACTCGTGTCATTTTTTACACCTACGCCGGCGCCAAATGCTTGCATGCGCCACCGCCTATAACCATTCTACGGTGCGCAGACGTTCGGTGGATTGACCACTGTTCACCAGTAGATCCGACTTGGATGCCATCCGGCGCTAGTTGGCATACGCTGCTGACTCTACTGTCAAGTTCCACAGACCACATAAGGATTAGGTTGTTCATCAACTAGCATCCCGGAAAAAAATTAGACCGTCGCCTCTTCAACCAGGTGTTATCGATTTGGTGGGATGTGTTAGCTATCATCTTCTTGACGTTGGTGTTGCTGAATAGAACCGACGGATGTAGCCACTCCATTTGATGAAAGGGTTCATGTTTAACGCGATGAGCGTTCACTTTTCGCCTCTCGCCACTTTTCTTAGATGAATTTTAGGGATCAGCCGATTCCAGACTGCCCCTGGTGGTTTCTAATCTGATTAATTTTTTTTACCTACTTACAGACATTGAAAAAACAACCCGTTTTGGTCCTGTCAGCAAAAGGCAAGTTTCATACCCATAGTATGGCGCTGCTTATAGTAAAGCTTTATGGGCGTTATGTCCTGATGACAGAATTCCGTTTCGTGCAAAAAAACTAAAAAAGTCTGGTTTGGCGGAAAACGGTGGGCTATTTCGCCTTAGATAGGCATACCGGGAAACAGCTGTGGAGAGCGGCGGCAAAGGGGGCCCCATTGCATACGAAAAGTTTTGTTTGGTAGACTCTATTAGTAAATTCACCGGACTTACAGGGACTTCTCTTTAAGATGCTTTCGCACTATCGTTTTTGAAAGATTTATTTTCTGTTTTAATGACTTTAATTTATTAAATTAACTTAACTATCGTACCTCAAGAGTTTAGATGCTTATTCGGGAAGTCGAATTCGCTCCACTGCCACCCGCGATTATGTGGATTTTTTCAAATGGATTATACCATAACATCATAACACAAGTGAACCGTATATCCAACGGTGACATTTCTTGATTTAGTTGTGGGGTTTGCGGAGTATGTATTGTTCAGATTCATATCGCTCTCATTTTAACAGTCGTCCTCCTAGTACGAAGTAATTATTCTGGGGAGTCCACACCAAAGGTGCTCGTCAATAGTGGATATCCTATAACTGTTCCAGGACTTGAACTACGGTCATCTGACACGCGAAGCGAACGTGTAGTGGAATTGACTCCTAGCGGATTATGTTTTGCTTAGCTGATTTTTCGTTTTATTAGTTCTGCCTAAGCCAACGCGTCCTGTTTCACTTCCAGATCATGCACAGACCTTCCATGTTGCTTGCTGTTCCTACTTTTTCTCGTCGGATTTGTAATCGTTACGCTTTGGAGTAAGTGCTGTATTGATTCCTTTTCCACGTGTCTTTTCATTTCGTACAGTCCACTTAGTCCTATCCATGTACCTTCATCTCCTTTGTTTTCGTTATTTCCTGTCTCCGGAAGAACTCCACTGTTGTTTTACTGAAACAATAGCCCCAAAACAGCAAATGGACAGATTATGTGGCCTGTGTTTGGTGACCCTCTCTAAAGTACATATTCCTCGACTCAATAATCTTCGATTTTTCCACTCGGTCACCCGGGCCTGTATTTGTGTTCGGGATGTCAGCTTGCGTACACACAAACAAGCTAGTAACAAACTTGTGACGTGCATTTGTGTATGCTCACAGTAGAACTATTCGATGGACATCCTATATGCTGCGGGCATATGATGGCTGTGATGACTTGGAGAACAACAATAGACTGGCTTTTCTGTGAGTATAAGGTCGATCGGCAATTCGGTATTTATAGTGGGGTCTTTAGTAAGGTAGAACTGTAAAAAACACAACCTGGTCGACTTGCAAACACAACACTGCATCTTGATTATGACCATGTATGCTATCTCTCTGTCTATCGGCCGACGTGCCTGTGCCAGTCTAACGGGTTAGCTTTTCTATTGACTCAACCGCATGGAGGAAGGGTATTAGGCGCGAATCGTGTTGGCTTCTCATGCAGTTTGGACTGACATTTTCCTGGCATTCTATGGAGCGACGAGGGTAGCAGAACGGTTGGTGTTGAAAGGATTGATTCAATGCATCATGTACGACACGGAAATCCGTGTGCGTAAGCGCTAATTGTTTCACTCACAACCCATGACGTACTTAGAAATAACCTATCCTTTTGAATACGATCACCTTTCTGACAAAGCCGGATTCGTTGAGTTTCTTCGACCTTTACTGTGGATAACAAATTGTAGCAGTAACAGTCGCACAACGGAGAGAACAAAATTAAATTCTGTTTGTGTATGTTATGAGTGGACGCTCTCAACCATGGGGGCGAGATGGCCCAAGTGGTAAGCATGTACGACACGGAAATCCGTGTGCGTAAGCGCTAATTGTTTCACTCACAACCCATGACGTACTTAGAAATAACCTATCCTTTTGAATACGATCACCTTTCTGACAAAGCCGGATTCGTTGAGTTTCTTCGACCTTTACTGTGGATAACAAATTGTAGCAACAGCTGACCCACTCAACCCTGCACTGACGATGTCACCTCGATTGGTGATGAAACGTTTGCGATCCAACTGCCAAGCTCGGCGAACAGACCCAACAACCGAACGCTTTCTTTCTTCTTTCTTCTCAACCATTGATTCGTTTTTGGTACCCGAAACACCCTTTTATATTGACTCTCTTATTTCAGGTTTTGCAATGGGTGATTACCGTCGTGTTGTTTACCCGACGAATTCCAAGGGTCAGGTTTGTGGGAGAGATGTTCCGTAAGTTCTTGTGCATATGCTGTTTACTGTTGTCTTCGGTTGAACTAGCTGACGAACCCGATGTAGGTCTCCACAGACATTACAACAACCGTGTTGTCACTATTATAACTCTTGTTCCGTTTCGATCTGGATACTACTGATATAAACGAAGCAAACAGTACATCAACATGATGTGGCCGACTATCATGTGTGTTAGCTTCTTCAACCAATCCACTCAGGATCTCTCAAAATCCTTCCACAATGAACGCCGACGGACCGCCCGAAACGGTCGTTCCATGCCGGCTGATGATGCAGTGTTGTAACTCGAAGATTTTCCTGGGAGCTTAAATAAGCCTTCATACGATGTCAACATTTCATTTTTTAATCTTCGAAAAGAAACTGCCTGGCCGTTGACCTTGTTACACATTTCTCCCGGCTATTACTGTGAAAGTGGCGGTCACCCATTGTACGAAAAGCGTACAAGGAATTGAACGGGCCTAAAGAAAATTGTCACTATGAAGAAATGGTCACTGAAGAGTGGTCTCACTGTGAGACAGTTTCTGTTCCTTAGTTCTCTAACTGATGTGTAAGATGTATATCACCTCAAGAATATCGAAAATCTACACAGATAGGTGTTTGCTCCCGCTTCTGAAGGTTTGTAGTAAGAGCGTAGGTGACGCTTCATCATTTAAAAAGAACTAGATCTTGAGCCATCTTACGTTATCTATAATTCGTTTACGGTGCTTCGGTTCGATAGACCGGTCTCGTTTGTATGTAGTACAATGTGGGGTAAACATAAACAGCGCCACTCACTTGGGTCGAATCAAGACTCAGAAGTGTTTTGAGGAGAAAAGCAGCGTGTGCTAATTAGCTGAACTTGGTACCAGTCCTTTTCAGCGTTCCGCTATATGATATGGAGCAGAAAACAATTTTTTGCACCCGTGATTCGGACACAGACCTTTCGTGTTCAGCTCATTGCTTTTGTCCGCCACACCATCGATGGACTCGTGTGATTTGAGGTATTGTTTCCTTCGCTTTCTCACTGGTCCTTACGTATGTCATTCACGTTTTTATACCAATCATGTTCATGTGTTGTTCACCGTCTTTTTAGTGGCAGGCCATTCCTGTATTTCTTCGACCTGTCACTCTGTTTGAGGATGGCCCCGGTCGCCGTCTTTACCGGATGCCCAACACCCCAAGTAAGCCGTTTGTGCTAACCTTATATGGATTGCTATTTCAGGTAGTTCTGTCCTATTAGTAATTTTTTCGTATTACCCTCTCATTTCTTGTTCAGGTTTGCGTGTCTTCTTGCCCGGACTACTACTGGTCATGGAAATCTCCGTATAATACTCCGAACCCACTATCAGCTCGTGAGCTCATGATCTGTTTGGACGGAAAAAATGCTACGGATCCGGAATTTTTCCATGTGGTAAATGACCATGAAGTTAGCCCTATCATGGCATGTAAAAAAATCATTCCTAAACACATTTCCGCATCATCATTGCCATCATCGTGAATAACTCAGCTTTGATAGTTTACTACCGTACTGCCACAAAGTCCACTAGTTTCTCTTTAAATCCTCAAGGTGGGGGAAAATAATACAGGGAATGCACCCGATTCCGGTCTCTGCAACTATTCCGAGGTGTCCATACCTCCTAATTCTCAGTCAGATAATCTTGGCAAAGCTGAAAGCACAGACTCCATTGATGCCGGATAGTTTCGAGTCAAGAGCAGGGGGGCTCATGGGGACCCCATTCTACAAGGTTAGGCTCTCGTGACTCTTTTTATCTCCACACCATTCTCCCAACTCACACGTTTTCCACCCCATCGTTTGCCTCGTTTCGAAGGAAGCTTAGAGAACAATGCTGCCCTAAGTAGACGAAGATTCGGCATGCGCGGCACATTGCACCGGGATTTTGAGGACCCTCCGGTTTCCACCTCACTTTGACGGTGACAATTCGAACAAAAAAGGAGTAGGTTTTCGCCGGATATCATTTTTTGTAGGGTAGCTCGCTTCCAGACGGACCGGATTGTGTGCAAGAAGTTGTGGTCTCGGGTTAGCTCAGTGGTTAGGGCGTAAGATTACTTAGCGGAAAGTCAGTGGTTCGAACCCATCCACGGCATCTCGACTGCTTGGCACTATCCCAGCCTTCGTGCTTCCTTCTGGTGGCATGACAGCCAGGTACCGAAAGGGTGTTACAACTTAGCGACTAGTATTATTATTATTCTTACCCATGGGTATTCCTTGGTGGAGAAGCTTGATTGGAATGGCCGTCGAAATGCCAAGGTTTTGGGCAGCTTCTATATATGGAACTTCTGTAACAGTTTATGGAGTGTGAACAGGTGGTCTACCTTGCTGAAATCCCGGTTGTTGCTCATGGACCAAGGTTTGGTGTGCCGTCTTGAGACGGCGATGAACCAGTGACGCTAAAAGCCCTAGTAAAGTTTTTTTGGGAGTCGGGTTTTCATTTTCGCCGTGAGTACCATTATTTAATGACCAGTGCTACTACCAATTTGTTCGGAGTTTCTGTGGACGTGTTTCTTCTTGATGGATACTAATAAGTGGAGGAGTTTGGCAATCGTCCGCCTTGAATGGAACGGACGGAAGGTCGCCGAGGCTAATAACAAAGGTATACAACCCTTGTGTTTCTTCGATTGGAGATGACTCCCTATTCGCATTCAACGTTTCTGGGTAGGCTGGCAGCCCGAATGAGAAGTGGCGGATAGCCAACTGAATAATTACCCAACGGCTCAACTGTTCTTTTTCTATGGATATTAGGGAGCCTGTCGTCCTTGACAGTTTCACCGACGAGTGAGATCCAAGCTCCTACTGTTCGAATCAAATGGAAGAGCCGGAGGCTATTCCCAGCCTTTTTCGCTCTTTCATTTCGTCGGCCTTCTGGATTTACCAGACTTTCTGGTCTGCACGTATGTTCAGGTTTACCCGGCATCGGATGACGCGCCTAGCTGGTTTGTAACTAATACCGAAGGGCATCTATCTACAGGTCACCAAAGCCACAATCTTATCAGTAATCTGACGTTTGAAAAAGCTGGCTTGATTGTGCCGCAAACAGAAGTTACGGCACCGCGTATGGACTCAGTCAGCTCTCGGGCGTTAGAGAGGACAAGTTTGACAGATATCTTTCATTTCAGTGTCCATGAGCCTCTCAGCGGCCAAGTGAAGTGTGTGCATTTTGTGTAGACGTGAAAAGTGTGATGAAACGTGACAGCAGGGGATTGGTATCCTCACCATTTTACCGGAAGCATTAGCATGTAGCGAGCGATCCTCGTCAGTAATTGAGTCTTACCTGTTGGGCAACATAAGGCCAGAGGACTTCCACTTTTCCGTGAGTTTGAACTGGAAAGGAGCAAGCTGTTGCCAACGCATCTCTTCAGTAGGCATATAGGACGAACACTCAGTTGAAACTCATCAGCTTTTAACCTATCTACGTGCGCTGTACTATCACCTGTGGTATTTGGACTTTCAGCTCGTAAAGGGCATTTACACCGTAGTAGACAGATCCAGAGTTGCAAGGTACAGTAGGCAAGGACTGGTTAAGCTCCGAGATCTGCAAGCGTTGCCGGACAGAAGATGTCAGCGGGAATGGGTGTTCTTTGTCGATTGGTGTACAACACACGGACATCAACATACCCAATCACAGTGACCTCTACGTCACCAGAAGTGCACAGCCACAAACTTGAAGGGATTGGGGAGACAATTAGTTCAACTATGGGACTTGAGTCCAAGCCGGATGGCCTGTTTCGTTGCTCAGGTAATCCAAAGCGCGAGCAGGAGCGGCAGGGTTTGAGAAAAGGAACAGTACTTGAAAGTATATAAAGACGTTTTCAGCAGTTTAGCTTACTCACCTTGCTGTATGCAGAAATTAGGGTGACCAAGCGCTGGCCGGTGTGGCATAATACTATCTCTGAGATGGCTACGCTTCTCAGGTGTCCAGTAGCAATGGGGAAATGCGTATGGTTATCCTTTCCTGTCTATTCCTTTTTCAGTAACGCTCTTACTGAGGAATTTTCATAGAAGTAAATATCACACGTAATAACCCAGTTCATTCAGATTCACACCAGATACACATTACTCAAACAACACCAACCGTTTGTGTCACTAAAGAGCCTTAGTATACCAACTGTGACCATGTTGGGGTTCCGTTTCGAAAAGCCCATGGTTGCTAGGGCGACCAACATCCATTCTGCTATCTCTCAGACACCTCTGATGAATGAAGCGAAGATTATGCAACGTGGCAGCGTTACCTTATGACTGTGGAACATAATCATATGGGGATCACTTATGTTTTCTTTTTTTTAACGGGGTAGGGCGTTAGCAATTCCAAAACAATTTGAGGGTTTTTTTGAAGCCATTTAATACTTGGTGATTTGATGAATTTGCACTAATTGCTTTGGTTCTTACATGTGGTCCGCATATGAGCTTTTCGATTGCCCCTGGGTCGGTGGGGAATGTTTACGTTGTTAGATGGCACATAGTGTGGAGCTTGTGACAGCGTTGTTTGCTAACCATCAAGTAGCGCCATCTGCCAGACTAGGACTTCCGAAACTCAGACTATGAATGAACTGGGATATCGGTGCTCTCTCACATTACTCACACGGTTACTCGTGCATTCTTGGCTGTCAAGTGTTGTGAAGTCCCGATACATACATGTTTGCTGGAAGAACCCAGCGGAACTGGATGTCTACTTGGGAGATTGAACGAACTTTCCATTATGTATATTACTAGGAGTGTTACATCCGCAACACCCTGCCTTCCAGTAACCGACAGGTTGTATTTGGCCCCAGGACTGTTTGGAGTAAGTACGTTGTGTTTATTCAGCCGCACCTCAAGCTCAATGTCACTGACTATTTGCAGGAGCAGTTGTTCCGGCTGTCTATCATACAAACCCAACGCTTTGTTCCATATTGCCTCTGTCCAGTCTCCAATGACACTGACAAAACTCATAAGTTTCGTACGGACTAATCTTTTAACCGAAAATCAACAAACCACTCCTAATGCTGAGGATGGACATGCGCATCGGTACTTACTCTGTACATTGCTTTGGGCGACTTGACAGTAGACTAACCATTTGCACCCGAATGTACGAGAAAATCTTGAATGTCTGGTATTGCGGCTGTTCGCTCATCAGTCTCACTGTGGTTCGAGAGCCATGTGTACAATATCAAAAATCGATTGTCGACGCAGTGGCTAGGCGCAGTTTGATCATATATCCATGTGCACGTGTGCATATGTAGATTTCTCGTTCTATCGTTTGTCAACAGAAGCACGGTCTGTACAGCTTGGAGTGTTGTTTTTTCTGAGTTTCATTACGTCCCTAGAGTACATCGATTTTGTCTTCCCGTTCCACAGCCCATCGACGACTTGGTTCGAACTCGCAAGTGTGCACCGTACACATTCAATTCAAAACCAGGTAGGTCTTCAGTCATTCTTCATTCTAATGGAATCCTGTTTCTTCATTCGACAAGCCTTTTGCCTTTCCTGTTCGTCAGAATGTCATTGGCGCGAATGAACTGTCCAAATGCACCACATATATGACCTTTTGTGTGTTGATGTGCTTCCACTCCCGGAATCTTCACATTAGTACTTCTCTCATTGATATGAATAACACAGTGGTCTTTTTGAGCAGCACCTTCATAACCGGAGTAGTTTTGCTCCTTTGTTTTTTATCCTTTACGAAGACAGAAAGTCCCAAACGACTTGAAAATAAACACTTGAAGAAGCATTTTGTCAGAACGTATCCCCCCAGACCAATGAAACGTCAACTCTCCGAATGGTCACCACTATTTTACGATGCATGATTGTTTCACTTTGTTGTCAAAACGTCGTATCCTATCCACTTATGCCGTATGTTAGTTTATTTGAGCAAATACAATGAAAACAAACAGTGGACGAGGGAGGGGGCCTAGGGCTCGCTTACCACAAACGTACGCGCTACCCACATCTTCAATAATAATCGATCTCGATTAGCCGCCATAGCTTTCGATGTCTTCAGTCTAGGGTAAGGATTACACGGGTCTCATCATGAAAGGTGAACAATACCACATGTACCCAAGCTTCTTGTAGAACCTTTCATTCCCTTCAGAGACTTCACGTACTATCGCCATCTAGGTTCTCGCCAATCCAAAATAAGCAAGAGGAACAATACTGGTCTTGGCAAGGCGTAGCTCAGCATGATTTATCATATGATCAACCCATTTTAGCTCGCAGTGTCGAGTACACTGTTTGGTACCTTTTACCTCACCGAAATCCCGTTTCCTGGCCACTACAAATTAGCTGATTCCAGCTACTATTCTGAAACGTCGATGGTCAAAGCTGTGGAGATGTTTCATCCTTCACCCGAAGTCTCCAAGTCTCATAGCCATGCAACAATGCACGCCTCACTTGAGATCCAACGACATAACCTCTTTAAACCCCGATTGGCGCAACTTGGTGGATCCAATTCCGACATCTAACGTTCGCGAGTTAACTTCGTCTGTCATAGTACCGTCAGAGCTAATGCAACTTCTGACATACGTACAGCGTTCCTCAACTTCTAGTTCACTTTTAATTTTTATAGACATGTTCAGGCACTCTATCGTCCGCAGCTTGAACTTGAACCTTGTGTTCGTGAAGCACATGCCGAAGGATTGGATGATCGTGGTCAGCTTTTTTAGCACTGCTTGAGCTTCACGCCCTCTTCTAAAAATCCAAGAGAATTTCGTCTGCTTGTTACAGGTTGGAAAGATTTGAACGTGGGGGTTTCGGAGACCCTCGATAGTTGTCCTCTGTATCTCACCATGTGGCCAAATTACACAAAGCTTGAGAGATCAGACACCGTTGTCGGTCACTGCTGTTATAAGGACTCTTTAGGAGAGGATCCCATATGCTCTCACTTGCCCACAAATGTGAATGCAAAGAGGATATGATGTAAATGATTACTCACCCGGTTGCACAAGCGTGTTCAGAGTAACGAGTCGAACGCACTAATAAATTCAAGGAAAACCAGTATTGTAGACATGGTCTAACATTTGACGGATTATGATTATGGGGTCCTTACAACCCCTTCCTGGCCGGAATCCTGTGTTTTGTTCTCAGGTCACGTTTTCAAGATGAATGGTGCATAGAGTCCGGTTACGGTGGGGGTTAAGTTAATTTCTTTTTAATTACCACTTTCACTGCGAGCGCCTCTTCTGAAAATGAACACTATTGATGACTCAGTCCGGTGATATGGGACGGTCTATTTTTCCCAGGTAAGGGCAAATAATTTAGACAAGCTTCAGCTGAGTGTCTCTTCTCCATTCGTAAACGGAGTTGGTGGTATTGACTAACGTGCTCGTTCGCATATCAATTGGGTTTTGACGGAGACCCACCTGGAGCCCAGTTAAATCTCTTGTTTATGGTGTTCGTCAGTGGCTCGGTAACAATTGGGGGAGAAAAACCATTCGCGTATTTCCGAAGCCGTAAAAGATTGTCATTTCCCTCTCCAGAGATTCGCAGAGGGTAAGAAATCCGACTGATCAATAGCAGTTGGCCAGTTAAACTACTGTTGAACGACTTTTAGACGGCCGCATCTGTCGGGAACTGTCAAGGATAAAGTCTTTTGGCTGTCGTGGACAAGCTGGTGTTATGTTGAATCTATGCGTGTCGAAATTCCGAGCTCGTATCCTCTAAGCATAGTCTTCTATCACGGTGCTCCGTAGCTTTATAATGTTCATCTAGAACTGAGTGATTTAGTCGTTTACTGAACTGGGTTTATTTTCGTACTGAATGTTCCTGTGAATAGACTGTTTTCTTGGTCCATACACGTGAATTCGGTTTTACCATTTATTGAAATACTTTGAGCAAAGCAGGAAGCGGTTTCATAAATACCTGTGGGGATAATCTCGACGCCAATGATGTTTTAGTTGGTCGCCGCCTTTGCCAGAACCCATTATATCCTTCTTCGAGAAAGCGCGCCTGACCAGAGTAGTATCTGGAAACCGTAGCATGGATAGCTTGGTTGTACCCGTCCCGGCTGCATTCACTGATGATAGGAAGGACAGCGAGGGATCAATCGCTTACCACAGGCGATGGCCTAATGGGTTAGTTGATTTTGAATTGTTGAAGCTCTCTGAATCAATGTATAGTTAGACAGTTGTGTATTGGTGGCGATACGGGAGAGTCAATGATTGCGGCGAAGTTACCTTTGTGGGTATTGTGACCATCAATTGGTCGCCTCTCGGAGATCTTGGCAAAACAACTGTATTGACCAGCTTAGGCTTCTGTGCTTCGCAGTCAGGTCCCATACTAACCGCCTTCTAGTCCCCGCTGTGACGTGCACGCAGGGTGTAAACCCACATACATGGATTCCTTTTTTGTTTTGTGGATTTTGAACGGTTCATTTCGGTCATTTCATTTTGTTCTGTTAAACATTAAGTACTCAGACCACCGTCACTTATCCGTGGTAACCTTGGGAAACCCACACATACTCTAGCAACTCCGCATAGGTATTCTTCGACCACGCTGCTACTTTCTCCATCGTCCTTTTCACCGACGAATATGCGAATAACCCTTGTTTGCTTGATACGATTCACTCGTTTTCCGTTGGAATCCTGTTCTTGGCCACTCGTGGATCAATAGAGTTTTTTTGTTCTTTTTTTGTGTGCTGTGTAATGAACTTTTTTGGGCGAAACTCAGGGCCGTTCACCCGTGATCCTTGTATCTATTCCCGTCTTCTGCACCCGGTAAAAGCGAACTGTTACGGAATTTGATTTGCACACTCGTAGTGGTGAAAAATGATGTCTTCTCGTTCCAGTTTTTGGTCGGTGCATGCCAAGTCAAATTAATCGCTTGTTGTCCAATGGGACGGGAAAAATTTACGACAGCGCAGGACAACAGATAGTCTTAACTGATTCACAGGATAAACGTGTCAGCGGCGTTTCTGTGGTCCGTGGACGCGAGTAAGTTTGCATAAAGTCTTCATTCTTCTCACGAACTCTTCGTTACCGTTTCGATGCATGTCCACTTTGTGCCGTTGTCGTTTAGGAGCCCATGTTAAATAGACGGCTGTTTTTGACATGATCCATGTACTGGGACTTTGGTTTACTCATTGTGAACGCTTTTTAGCATGGCCTGTTTCAGTATCCCATGTTATAATACTTTCATCCGTATGTAAAACAACGGTTATTTTCTCTTGACTGCACTTGCATTCTCAGATGGGACAAAGTGATTTGTCAGGTGTGCTTGTGTTTAGTAGGATGCCACAGCTATTATGGGTCATGGCCTTGCGAAGGTCCGTCATACTACAGTTAGCAGCCCTCACTCTCAAAAATCATTACTTATCCTTGCACGGGAACAACAGTACCATTCAGCCTTTCAAACATAAGCTGTAGTGCTTGAAGGGAGGTCGCTTGCGCAGTACTCTCTCTGAATCAGATTATTTTCGGAAATTTGGAACTTACAGTAAACAGCTGCGCGAGACTCTTTTTGAGGGCTTCCGGATGCGGTTGGGTTAGATTGGATGCTGCCTTGACAATTGATGCGTCGACTAGTGGACTGGTATCCATGGATCTCACGCGAGTGCCTTCTCCGGAATCTGTGATCGAGCATATCTGACGAGATGTCGAATTGATGTTGCTGATGTCTACTTGAATTTGGAACATCTGTCATGTCGATATCCGATACCCTGCCACCAGGTTGTGTTTTGGGTACTTGACAAAATATAACTCTTTTTGAGCCTCAAGAGCTGCACAAGAATTGGATAATCACTTACTGAGACTACGTTAGCTTTGCGTAGAAGTGTCGTCCACATAACAGGACTTGAAGAATGAATTATTTTGATGTGTTGTTCGGGTTTTTCAGTAGCGCTGGTAAATGCAAGAATTATTTGTTCCTAGCTGATTTCTACTCCACTCGTCTTTTTTACTTTTGACCACCACACGGACTCAGTCTTCGCTCACCATACCACCATAATTCCAAACCATAGCTGTTACATTTCTGGTTTGTGACCACGTTAGTCCTCATAGGTACAATTAAATACCAATCTGTACTTCCACCCGCAGCACCATCATGCACCTGACCGATGCCTTTGAGAAAATTGCGTCCGACTTGGCTGTCAGCTGGCCAACAATTTTGATGTGAGTTTTGAATCGCACTGGCTGTCATGTTTGTGTACATGTGGTTGACTGGGTTACCGGTTCAGCGTTTATGTTAAGTTTCCCGATAAACCATATCCGTGTATTTGCCGTACCGTATTTGATGTACCTATTCGGATATGACTAACAGTTGCACACCGAGCGTTGACTACTAACACACCATAGGGACTGTCTGTTGTAGTCATTGCTTGCCATTAGCTATTCTCACATGGCTTAGTTAATCCTTCGTTCCTTCATTGTTTCCACTGCATGTGACTTGTGTGAGAAGTCCCTGTTGCGTGTAAATTGTGAGTGCATGGGTGATAGAGCTGATTTTTTCCTAATCAGTAGTATTAACCGAATGTCAACGTTTAGGATAACACTTTGTGTACCCTTATCTGTATCATTATTTCATCTCCTGCCGGTTTGGACACTAATAGGTTGTCAGAGTTTGCCCTTGTACCCCTATCAACAGTTTTTCCAAGATATCCTAGTAGTTTAAACACGTTGACATGCACGCCCAACGTTTAGTTATCGACGGATTCCGATCTAACAGCGCTTTCGACTTGTGACTACCAGAAAAACACCACTACGTGGGTTGTGCTCTGTGGCATTTGAGGTTTGTGCCAAATGAAAGTAGCACTTTCGAACGTCCAGTTGCCAGTTCTCCGTACACGAGGTGCGGAACAATGCATTTGTTCGTGTGTGTGTCTGAAGGACTGGCTCTTGATGGCCAAGTTTGCCGTCTTTCGAACAGGTCTTTTTAACAATACACAGTGAATTACTCCTTTTCTGCAACCGATGTTGTATTTCTTGTTCATTGGCGCTAGTTTGTCTTTCCTGGACCATTTATCTAGTTTGTTGTGTTATCTGAGTCGCTTTATCTCCATCGACAAGAAGCTCACTACTTTGCCATTTTTCTGTACTTTTATACTTTACGTTTTAATACGTTACACTGAAAGAATTAGTTCATTGGTTTTTCAAAACTGTTTCGCACTACACAACTATTTACGATGGACGTTGGCGGTAGTAATAACGTTATGTTGTCCCAATTCAACGTCCGTCACTAGGAAACTACAGCATTTCCGTTCCTGATTTTTTCTTCAATATTTTGCCCGTGCTCCGCGTTTATTTAACCCAAAAACAGGCACTTACACCACCACGTAGCTCCATATCTACAGAATTTTCGATTAAAATCCTTCTTCCTGGTCAGAACCTATAGGTTTAAGCAATCCACCTTATGCGCTCTTTGGTTGGTCCACCAATCCGTCAGTGTTCATTGGTGATCGTAGGGTAGCACACGTGTCTCGCGTTGGATAACCGGATTTCAAGCCCAGGTTTGTGCAAAATAGGAGCGAAATTCAATTCCATAATTCCTTATTCGGTCTAGACTAATCAAAGCAGCTGCGCTCGACCAGGAAGTACTGTGTCATAATTCTTCGGTTTAATTGTTGTGTGGTGGGATTTGCATTCGGCGTGGTATTCGCTGTCCGTGTTGTGATCATATCCTTATATGGAACGCTTAATGCCTGCTTGATGTGTCGGTAAACGATGAGCTTCCCGTTTTTTCCCATTTGACCATCATGTGTATATCATGTTCCGCTTACCTCACTTATACAAAATTTCTCATCTTTTTCCTCCACCATCAAGTTGTCTGTCTGTCAGCATCGTGCTTTCATTTGTTTGGATCGTTACGTTACGCTGTTGTGCTGGTGTAATGGTCTGGTCCAGCCTCATCCTCTTTGTGCTGTTGTTCACTGCATGTAAGTTGTTATTCATTCTTTCAACCTGTCAGTCAGGCTTGGTTTTGCTTCTAATCTCTCTCACTTGAAACGTCAGGTGTTCCTGACAGTCACAGCACTCTTTGTAGCCAACTACTCTCCGAAACCACCAATCTACGCTTTCCCAATCTCTTTTCTATGCTACGCTACCAAAATTTCCTTCCAGAAACGCCCCCATCATCTGGTATGCTAGTACTTCCCATTGGTGAATGTGAATTTTCCATTGGAGTGACATTGGTTGACAAACTTCCCTAGTACAGCCTTCAAGACACGGCTGACTTACCGCTGACCTTAACGTGTGAACTCACGAACACAACCAACAAACAAACCGCTACAGAGCATTATTTTTGTACAGTACTCCCGCCCTAAAAGACTTCACAACTTCAGCGTATTCAGAAAAGCTTGAATCATTCACAGTAAAAGTCTATAACAACAACGGATTCAAGTGTCTCCCGTGGATGCTGTTCATATTTGAATGACATTTAGAATGTAGCCTTTAAACAAAGGTAGCATGTTCTTTCTTATCATCATCGACAACATTACATCAATGTTCAACACTGATGCTTCGCTGACGTATAACCATGATTTAGTTAAAAGTCGTATTGCGAAGAACTGCATAAGAGTGGACGGCGAAGGGACTAGTGCCAGCTTAATACAATCGTTCCGAGGTGCCTACACCTCCAGAGACTCATTCAGACAATCTGGACAGAAACTGACAAGAAGAACACGGCTGACATCCGTTGACAGCCGTATCCTGGAGCGTCTCCAACCGGACGCAATGGGGATCACGCGGTCTCCATGTTGGAAGGTGAGTAGCACCGAAAGCACCCTCTGCCAGGTTAAGGGTTGGCCACCCCTCTGCTTCCGCCACCCTGAGTTGGGCATAGAAAACATATCTCTCTTCGGCGAACGATAGTTTGGAATACACAGCTTTTGGTGTTGGACATATTATTCAATAGAAGTTCCCGTTGCACAACCGAAAACTCGCTTTCAAATTGCCTCGTTGCGGATTCGCCAACACCAACCAACACGAATTATGGTTTTGCGACAACGATTGTGGAACACCTGAAGACATCCCAGTTCCGCCGCTCTAACAGGCCAAGTCTCACAGCCATAAGACCACATAGCCCGCACTTTAGCCTGAT